ATAGATTGACAAGAGAGAATGGAGCATAGATTGACAAGAGACAATGGAGCATAGATTGACAAGAGACAATGGAGCATAGATTGACATAGATTGACAAGAGACAATGGAGCATAGATTGACAAGAGACAATGGAGCATAGATTGACAAGAGACAATGGAGCATAGATTGCCAAGAGACAATGGAGCATAGATTGCCAAGAGACAATGGAGCATAGATTGACAAGAGACAATGGAGCATAGATTGACAAGAGACAATGGAGCATAGATTGACAAGAGACAATGGAACATAGATTGACAAGAGACAATGGAGCATAGATTGACAAGAGACAATGGAGCATAGATTGCCAAGAGACAATGGAGCATAGATTGACAAGAGACAATGGAGCATAGATTGACAAGAGACAATGGAGCATAGATTGACAAGAGACAATGGAGCATAGATTGACAAGAGACAATGGAGCATAGATTGACAAGAGACAATGGAGCATAGATTGCCAAGAGACAATGGAGCATAGATTGACCAAGAGACAATGGAACATAGATTGAAAAAGAGACAAATGGAACATAGATTGACAAGAGACAATGGAGCATAGATTGACAAAGAGACAATGGAGCATAGATTGACAAGAGACAATGGAGCATAGATTGACAAGAGACAATGGAGCATAGATTGACAGAGAGAAATGGAGCATAGATTGCCCAGAGACAATGGAGCATAGATTGACAAGAGACAATGGAGCATAGATTGCCAAGAGACAATGGAGCATAGATTGACAAGAGACAATGGAGCATAGATTGACAAGAGACAATGGAGCATAGATTGAGCATAGATTGACAAGAGACAATGGAGCATAGATTGACAAGAGACAATGGAGCAATGGAGCATAGATTGACAAGAGACAATGGAGCATAGATTGACAAGAGACAATGGAGCATAGATTGACAAGAGACAATGGAGCATAGATTGACAAGAGACAATGGAGCATAGATTGACAAGAGACAATGGAGCATAGATTGACAATGGAGACAATGGAACATAGACTGACAAGAGACAATGGAGCATAGACTGCCCAGAGAGACAATGGAGCATAGATTGAGACAATGGAGCATAGATTGACAAGAGACAATGGAGCATAGATTGCCAAGAGACAATGGAGCATAGATTGCCAAGAGACAATGGAGCATAGATTGACAAGAGACAATGGAGCATAGATTGACAAGAGACAATGGAACATAGATTGACAAGAGACAATGGAGCATAGATTGACCAAGAGACAATGGAGCATAGATTGACAAGAGACAATGGAGCATATAGATTGGCCAGTGACAATGGAGCATAGATGCATTTTATATAACCTGTTTGAAATATCATGTATACCACAACAGAAAACTGTTATATTCTTCTTCATCAAATGATGCCTTATAATGAAGGTTCCTGGTAATAAACACTTGTGGTGAGCTTTGATTAATGTTAATATTTCAACAGTGTTCTGAAAGTAGCACGCATCTCCCCACGCATGCATACCTGTTGACTTAATGAGGTGTTGGGAGAAAAGTGTATATAGCGCCATCGCATGTTACCATGGGCAACCATCATGTTAACACTACCTAACAGCACCATTGCTGACTTTGTGAAATCAACAAGCATGTATTTCATGATATGTCAGGTCTGCCAGCAATGTATGTTGTAGACTCAAATAAGGTCAATAAGTTTAACATGCTATGTAAGAATGTCCTAATGACAAATCTCATCTGAAATCACATGGGAACTATTTCTATTTCCTTTCATTATATACATTCCTTGTTGTAAATGTTAAAGGCTAGTGAACACGTTCGGTGCATAACCTGAGTTTTGTTCTATAAAAGCAATGCATAAAGTATCAGTAGTTTCTGTCCCAGTATTTACATAGCAGCATCTGTGTACAGCCCTGTCAACAGGGAAAGCATGTTACATGCATCAAATAGGTACACATGTCCATGTTGACATAAACCTCACACTTTCTAAACTTTTTCTAGCAAGAAATATATTGGGCAATATGTTATAAATGAAAGGCCCCAACTTTGTAAACCCAAATCAGCTTACTGGCTATGGTTATATACTGAACAAAATAAGTTAGGCATCATGAAATATTTTTGGCGATTTCTTTTTTATGGAACTGTGCTGTCTTCACTACAAAAATATTTACAAGACAATTTTAACAAAAATGGTATCAAATGAAAAAGTCCCAACTTTGTAAACCAAAATCAACTTACACGCGCTATGGTTATATACTGAACAAAATAACTGAAGGATCATGAATATTTTTGGTGATATCTTTCATGAAACTATGCTGTCTTCACTACCACTAACTGATATCCAAAAATATATTCAAGATCCCTAAACTTTCAGCAAATTCTATTTTTTAAAGACAAGAATTGCCCAAAGAGCTACTGACATCCACCTTGTTGGTCTTTTTTTTCTGATGACAACCATTTTACTTTACTGTTAGAAAATAATTGTGGCATCAACGGCTACTGATCACAGCTTAAATTCTCATCACTGGAGCATCAAGACAAAGAAACATATTTCTGCTGTTCCTTACATCAGTTCAAAGTAGCTGACACGACAATATTGGTCTTTGCATTCGTGTGTCTGTTTTTGGGGACTGAATTATTCAGTCATACCCCTTGTTTCTAAGCAACAATAATCACATTGCCAGTGGGGAAGGTAGGTTACCTGCGACAGTCATTACACACATATTAACAAGCACCGTGAAATATATCTTGACTTGGTCTGCTTCATGTCAACCTAATTAGATCAGTCATGCAACATTAATTGAGGGATTGGCAGGCATTGAGAAAATGAAAGTGCCAAACTAGCATCTAGATCAAGAATGGAGTTGTTGACAAGAAATGGCAGTTACACAAGTCACATGTTGATAACATTAATGTACATTATTGTAAATGTGTATTTTAAAATGTATAATAAACTTGAACTCTCAAGTTCTAACCATGCATGCATGATTATTTTACAAATGTTCTGAGTATGAAACTGTGATTATTTTGTTAATTGTAGAGACGTTTTGATGATATATCTACTTGCATGCTTGCGTTTCATGTTGATTGTAATATTTTAAAATAATTAGCTTTACATGCAAAATGGCTTTTGTTTTTGGGGCTCATACAGAAACTGATGTATTTCAATGGTTCGCAATGTGATTTTAAATTGATAAATCAGTTGGTTTCATGTCAACATGACAAAATTCAATGACGTCAATAATACAGACAATAGGATTTTCAGGAATTTGCATTTGTGTATATAAGACCTGTCACATGATATTCCATGATATGATTCTTCAACACAAGGATAAATTAATGGAGAAATCATAAACCACATTGAACTGAGTGGTTCAGTGCCCACATGAAAAATGTATAAGCTGCAAAATTTACACAAACCAAATACCCAGACTGTACATCCCACAAGCCGAACATGTCTTTGTTTGAAACTGACAATGGCTGACTAAAATGTACTTACATGGTGAAATTGACACACATCTACCGACACCTATCCACCAGTGTTGTTGGCTCTGTATAAACGACACTATTACACATGCAATGGTCTGGCTCATATCAGATATTGATTTCAGTGATCTCAGATCAGCTGTTCAGGGCTGATCGCGGAAAGGACGTCAATAGCAACAAGGTAAACAGCTGCCAAATACACACAGTTTTAACATGAAAGTAGATTTATCACTACCTGGGTAATTATGATGTGATGGGAAACAAAGGCAACTCAGCTAACAAGATCGATGTTAGTTTCCTGAAACTGACAACCTGATACGTAAACAAAGCTATGGTTGATTAGGTATGGACCCGGAAAATGTCAGATATGAATGACACACCAACACGATATTACCACAATTAACTAACACAACTATACTATATGGTTTTCAAGTTCAGATCCATTTGTCAAGAAGATCATTCTTTATTATCTATCAATTCAAAATCACAAAGCAGTGAGAATTAGTAATAATGTCACAGTATGTCATAGCATTCCTTAAAGAAAATCTATATACCAGGTAATGAGTTTAAACTTATGCAAGGAAGAGTGCAACATTTTACAACCTCATGTCATGGATCAGGGATGCTTTACTCATCCCTGACCATGAACCAGCAATTGCTATATGGGAATTTGAAGCTGTCATCTTCTGTGATCAAGAAACCCTTCAAGAGTAGTCTCCCTTTTTATCCAAAACCTATTACATATCTGACATTTGTGTAGATTTCAGTGTAATAAATTAATTAAGAAAATAATTACCTGAAAAGAAGAAAAATGTGGCAAAACAGTATTTTCCATGTGCATGACTGTATGTTCAAAGCAAAATACAGTTGACTTTCAAAATTGGCATACCCAATTGAGTCAGGATTTTGGGTAGTTTGGACAAGTTTTTTTTTCTCAAAGTTCATCATCCAAAAAGTTATTTTGCCAAAAGAACCTATTGTCAATATGGAGACAGTGTATATCATTTCAGATGACAGAAAGTTTCCCAGTGTCACTATACTGAAGCACAAGCCATCAACACAACCAATACATAAGGACGAATGAGGCATCATGTGGCTACCATCGAGATGATGTGAAAAATGAAGAAATTTAGATACGAAAATTATTGGCAGTATCAACATGATTTTAATTCTTCAATTCCAGCATGTCTTGAATAATGTTTTGGATGGTTGTAACAATTTTACAAACACATGATGAACAGAGACCCAACTGGTCATTGCCAAATTGCTTGGACATTTCATATTTTGTTACATCAACCATTTTGTCATTTAAACCATACATCTGTAAGGTAAGATCATATGAATATGTCAAATTTTCATAACTACATACATATTGTCTTGCTGACATAAGTATCCTCATCATAACTATTTTTTTCACTGCAGATTTGAAACTACATCTTAGTGCAAAATGCATATGTTTTTTTGTCAAAATGGCTTCACCAACTATAACCGTCATCTCACCTTCATAAAATGGTGGTGCGCCTTCCTCGGTGGGGCTGGAAACGCCAGGACCAAACTTCATGCGAACTGTGGCTTGAGAAATGATTGCTCGTCTCTCCAACTCGAGTGCTTGAAGCCTCTGTTGGTCAAAGTCATCAGGTGTAGATGAATCCCGCTTGACAACGAAATTTGGCTTTTGGACAGTTTCCGCAAACTGTCTAGCCTTTTCAACCATTTCTTCAGAGTCATACATTTTACCACGAGGGGAGATAACCCCACTCTGGGCCTGTCCATACCTGTCATCATTTTCAGTTTTCTGAAATCTTTGATTACCTCCCTTTGATTCATAGCGATACGATGAGGTTGGACTTATCATGCTGTCCTCGAAGGCTGAATCTACACTGGTCCGTACGAAAGATGAATCTCTATCACTGGAGTTATCTCCCTTGGAGTACATCTGGTTTTGAAAGGAGATGAGCTGTATGCCTGAGCTATCTGTCTCATCAGGGGATGTAGGGAGGCTGGACACAAGAATTCCGCTGTCTCCTAGAAGAAACCCATGGACAATAGTTGTAAAATATAACACAAAAATGAATAATTCACAAACAACATCATTCTCCATGCAAGACAAGTGATCAGTTTGCCTATATAGTAATGACAAGGGCCCACAAAATGTACAGCAATAGTTTGTTTTTTTGCTAGTTACACAATTCAAGTTAAGACCAAACTAAAATATCTACTCATTCTTGTTTTCCTGTTATCTGGTTTCCACTTAACAAAATTTAACTTGTTTTAAGCCTTATGAACAATACAGAGTAACAAATATCTTCCAAATGAGAACTGGCTTAGTGACATGTAACTAGCTTGTCATTGTGAAATTGACCAATTTTCTCCATATTTTATACTGCTCAATGACATTATATGAGAGAAATGATAAACAAACACATGACATGTCAACCCTTCAGAGAAACTTTACTGAAGACAGCCTACTGTTTAAATAGCACAATGTAATTAATTTGTAACATCATCAAAAATGGCGAGATGAGATTAAGGACTAAACAAGTGGTGTAATTATCTCTGAAATTATCATCGCCATATAAAAGTTAAAATTCCAGATTAGAAATCATAGCGAATGATGTGAACTGAGAATGATTTTACGGCACACAAACACAAAGCATGAAGTGAAAGAAGCACTCATAAAATATTACACTATTATCTCACAATCAAATATTATCAATTCCATTTTTGTCTACTATGAGTCAGTTGTATAGTTACTCATATTTCTGTCACATTTTTATGAACACATTGAAATATGTTTCAGAAACTGAAAAAGATATATCACTAATTACCCAGTTATTAGATATATTGACAATTAGTCTGATTTCTTTCTGACCATAAATGCAGTATGAAGCAACACAGATCACACACACATCAAAACAACACATTTTCAGCAGGGCTCCCACATGGTGGACAAGTTCAAGTACAATAATTCAGCTTCACATGATTTTTAATACAGAAATATATCACCATTCTCTTCCCACAGAGGTTACTTGTCATATCTTCCTACGAACCTCTGTTCTAATACGGTCCTTTCATGGTGCGAGTGTTCAGGATTCGTCATTGGTTGCAATCAGATTTACTTGTGCAATCAGCGACGTTGTTTCAAAAGTGATCATTCGTAAGGCCTCGATAATTTCCGTATGCTTCGGGAAAACTAGAACCTCTTCCCCTGCGCGATGCGCAAACGTTTCTTCTAGACAGAACTCAGTCATGTAATGGCGGATCAATGGCATCTCCATCGCCCTCGTTGACAACAGACAAGCTAGCCATTAAATGTCTTGTGTGTCACATCAACACAAATTCCTGCTGATGAGGGACATTTGTGGCCCCACATTTGTTTGTATTAGTAAAGCTGGATCTAAGTCGACGTAACACGTGTTCTGATTGGATAAAAAGAAGGGAGACTTTTTGCCGCTAGGGGATTTTACGAGAACCGGGAAATATGGCGTATTAGAACAGAGGTTCGTAGGAAGATATGACAAGTAACCTCTGTGGGAAGAGAATGATATATCACATGCTCATGATTTTTCACATAGAAAATTTAATGAAGTAATGTCGACATTAACATCAATGAAGACAGCATGATTATTCACACACTGTATGGAATTCTATTTTTGGAATAATCCAAAATCACAAACTTTGAATCTGGTTACTGTGCCAAAGTTTGATCAGCAGCATCAGATACAAAAGATAAGTCCTTCATGAAGAGCCCTGATGTGCAGTCAAACCATGTTGGTCTCATTACCTGTCCCCTAGAATATCACCTCAGATCAAACTCTTATCTATCTGCTGTCAAACTTAAACCTTAGAACCTGTAAACTATTTTAAACTCCATGTATTAAATAATTCTGAAATTGCAATAACAGTCCTATATATATTCATAGGAGAGTTTCATACATTTTTTAACTGATTTATGAAATGAAAAAAAGGCCATGGCTAAATATACTGAGAGAAAGAAAAAAGGATCACGGGAAAATTCAAGTGTTCCTTTAAATTTTTCCAGTTTTCATCACCAGCTTTGAATTTTCCTGTGATCCTTTATTTCTTTCTCTCAGTATATATTCATGTTTGTACCACATTTCTGCTACTGAAGTCTATGTAATACTAAATTTTGAGATACATGAAGGCAATTAGAATATTTCTCTTTTCATTATGAACTTAACAATGGAAAATGGCTTAAAAGTGACAGTCAGATTTGTACAAGATTAGAGTGATATAGTCTAATTCTCAAGAAAAGAAATGCATCCTACAGTGACATTTCCAAGTTCTTCAGCTTCAACAAGGTTTGACAGATAACATGTGCATGTATATATGAATATAGGTTGCATGAGGACAATGAAGGCTTGGGTACACACTGCTGCCTGTGTTAGACAACCATTAGTAATGTGAATAGCAGTTGTTACTGAGTAATCAGTCCATCCCACATAATAGCAGTGATCAAGTTTAAGTATTAATTTTTTTTCCTTCTATTCAATTTAATTGATTTACTTGTTACAAGATGTGCCTCACACCTTATTTTTTATATTTTACACTTAAAACGGAGAAGACGAAAAAAAAAAGATTTCACTTCTTGATTTTATACTTCATATCAAGCATCTTGAGCTTTCAAAAAGAAATGACCTAAAAAAGAATTTGTTTCAGATTAAACATTGTCATATCATATAATTCATAAGTACTGATAATCAGTAATAAGTTTAGTTTTACACAGCTATAAAAATCTTCAAGAAATATCAAGGCAGATGACTTCTGGCTTATGATTCACAGTGTTAGCCTGGGACTTTTTCAGAACAAGTGAATGCTTTAACCACTTGGCTAACTACTGAATTATAACCTTGGACAGACTGCAGAGAAATCTGATAAGTAAATAATAGGAATAATATTTTTTTCAGACCATTATAATTTAGTATGGATGTTGATTAAAAACTTAATATTCTCTTTTAACGATTATTGGATTTGATATTTTATTAAGAATTACATGGTTTTCCATGCAGCCATCTTACCTGGAGAGAAAGTAGCGTTAAATCCACCTTCATCTTCGGACTCCTCAGACTCCTTTCTCACACTGCTGTCAAGTCTTTGGATATCAGGGAAATAAGCATCTATGCTTGAATTAAAAGTCTCATTATCGTCTAAATTTATGGGTGAGGGCTTATCAAGACCGAAAAAATCTGCCCTCATTTGGGCCAAACTTTTGACCTGACGACCTTCACCTTCGTTAGTAGAAGCAGGTGAATCATGGGACTCAAAATCAATTAACTTTTCCATCATAGCGTTACCTGTTGGTGAAGATTTGGAGTTAAGGAGTGATGAAGATTTGAAATCGATTTCCACTATCTCCTCGCCACTGGGTTGTGTGGCGAGGGGTGGGGCAATGGTCGGCAGTGGGGGTGGGGCCGAGTCCGGGAGGGGTGGAGGCACAGAGCTAGCATCTGATGCATCAGACTCATATCCTGCAGCTGCGGTTCCTGCAAGATGATCCAGCATTGATGATCGCTTGGACCCATTGGAGACCCTCACAGAAGGTGGGGTCGAACTTGGTGACGCCTCAATGTTTGAAATGTTGGTGTGAACTTGGTTGATAGAAGAGGTTCCTGCAACAGGAGGTGCTGGTGCTTTCCGCTTGGGGCTCTTTACTTTATCTTTAATATCACTGTTTGCCTGGAACTGAACCTCTGTTACACTTTCTTCGATGCTCACTTTGGGTTCAATAACCTGTGTCATTACAGTTTTCTTTGTGCTGATAATTTCAGATGTGTATCCTGGTGCAGAGCTATCTAGAATAGGATTGCCTGCATTGTCCAATGCAGTTTTGATTTCAATGACTTCCTCAATTATTGTCTCAATCTCTTCTTCTTCTCTTTCACCTTTCTGCTCATCAACTGTTCTTTCTTGCCTCAAAGCTTCTTGTCTGACAGATTCCTTCTTTGATGTTTTTTGCTTCAAAGCTTCTTGTCTGATGGATTCCTTCTTCGACTTTTCCTTCAAAGCTTCTTGTTTGACAGTTTCCTTCTTTGACTTTTCTTGCTTCAAAGCTTCTTGTTTGACAGTTTCCTTCTTTGACTTTTCTTGCTTCAAAGCTTCTTGTTTGACAGTTTCCTTCTTTGACTTTTCTTGCTTCACTTTTGGCCTGGCACCCCCGTGCCCTCCAGAATAAGCATCAAAGCGACCAAATAGCTCACTATTTTGAGGAAGTTGGCTTGCACCTTCAGTAGTAAAGGATGTGTCTATATTGGAGGACTGAGAGATACGCCCTTCTCTGGTAACAACAGTGACAGTTTCAGGAGACTTCAATCTCCCTTTCTGTTCATGAACTTGTGTTACAGTGGAGGTAGCGACTGTTGTTGCACTGTCAGAGTTGGAAGCAAATGCATCAGTATCTTTAAACAATTTAGACGAATTTAAGGCTCCAAATATTTCAGATTCCAGAGAACTTTCAAGAATCAATGGCTTCTCTTTGGATTCTGCTAAACTTGCTGTTGAGGTAATGCCCAGGTCAGTGGGTCTTTTAGCAGGAGATTCTGGTGTTTTACTGACTGCCTTAAAACTGGATATGTCCTGAGGACTCTGTACAATCTCTTCAACCCTTGGTGATGTGGGTTCAGATTTTGTGGGAGATGAATCTTTACTGGACACTAAACCATTTACCTTCTGTACAGATTCTTCAGAGGAATTGGAATTAGTTGATGCCCTCTTTTTCTTCAGTCGAGGTGGAGCTACAGGTGGAGGTCTATCTCCAATAGGAACTGAAGGCTTGGTAGCAATGGGAGGTTTAACAGTAGCTGAAGTGGGAGTTAGAACTTCTGGAGATCTTACTGGAGATTCTGTTGTGGACGGAGATCTTGGACTGGTAGGTCCAGGACTGGTTGATGTTTGTGGTGGAGGAGGAGCTCTAGACTTCTTTGAGGATGATCGAGGTAGACTTTTAACAGGAGTGGATGAACTCGAATGAGCCTTTTGCAAGATGGCTTCAGATTGCTCCCTTGGTGTCTTTTCGCCAGATGATTTGGTTTCTTGAGTATTATTTTCTTTCAGAGCTCTTTCCGGACTCTTGTGTTTACCTTCAGCTTCTTCTTGGTTGTTTCCAACTGATGACAAGTCCAGCTTTTCAACAACCAGAGGAGATGTTGATGTGGTTTCTGACTGACCCAAATCTTGTTCAACAAAAACTTTTGACTCTGAGGAGATTTTACTCCTGTGTGTCTGCCGGGGAGATTGCCGAGGAGACTCAAGAGGTCTTCTCACTACTGTCGGACTCTCTGTGCCTGTTTCTGATTTTCCTTCAAGGTGTAGGGACCTTCTCTTTATGCGGTACTCTCTAGCTGCTTGTACAGCTTCATCAGGCTTGGAGGTATAGCTGTGCCGCTTGATGTTCTCCTTACCGCTGCCACCACGACGCTGATGTCGGAGTTTCTCCGCCCTCTCTTCCTCCTCCTTGGCACGCTTCCTTGCAGTGTATTCCTCAGGGTTTCTCTGCAAAAGGAATATACATGCATCAAAGTCAGGAAACCAACTAGTCAAACTATGTCTACTAACAATGATAAATAATAATAATAATTGCATTAATAATGTGCTAGGCGAAAGCTTATAGCACTAACAAATATAATCTGATTATTATTACCCCAGACAACCCAAGCTGCCTGTGAGGCTAGGTTAATAGTCACATGACTTATTCCACCGGGTACCCATTTTCTGCTGGGTGAACAGAGGCAATTTTGAACAAACCCACTTGCCTAAGGTGAGACTACATGTAACGCATGTGCTTCATTGTGGGGCAGGACTGAAGTCCTAGAAACTCTGAGGAGTCAAGCTGCCAAACACGGTCACCCATCCAAGGACTCTCCGCGATAAACATGGATTAACTTCAACTGATTTGTGACCTGAACCCTATGCACAGGACCACACACCACCACACAATATAAAAAAATACTTCCTCATAATAACAATGCCAAAGCTTTTGGATCTATTTCAAAGCTATTACAAAAAATGTTTGGAAGAAAATTGAATGCTCAGGTTACCTCATCAAAGAGGCACAGAAAAGCATCAGGTCACATTTTTGTGCGCCTGACAGTTTGAAGTGATTCATATGTACATGAATATGATTACAGTCATCTCCCAAGCTTTTGAGTCCAATCTTGGTCCTCATAAAGTCTTAGTTTCATCCTTTCTGAGAACTGATGTGTGGTGACCAGTTGTACATCATGTTATAAGCTGATAGTTTTATTCCAGTTCAGCTCATCTCTTTTTATTTTCTAAAGGACTGGGTTTCAAAATCGGCATCCATTTTTTTCTTTATTGTCTCTATTGTACTGGCATTTTGGTAATATCTATGATAGGTGAAATAGTACAGCTCATTCCTTCTGTCCAGGCACAGCTCCAGTAACCCACTTATCCCAAGGATACTCAGATGAACAGATGAATTATTCAGGAAAACACAATGAAAGCATGGTCACAAAAAAGACATCCATTAGTCCACTCTGTGACCATGTGTTTCATGAGACATGAAATTGAAGCCTGTCAAGCAAGGCACACATAAATCTATTCCACACCAGCCCGGGACAACCTTCATAGGGAACTGTACTAACCTACTTCTGGGCAATATTCAGATGCATAAGTCATATGGAATGAAGGAGTTATAGCTTACATGTAATATTTGAAAGAGTTGTAGCTTACATGTAATATTTGAAACACTTTGTGTCTTACATGTAATATTCGAAGGACTTGGTACCTTACATGTAATATTTGAAGGACTCAGTAGCTTACATGTAATATTTGAAGGACCTGGTGGCTTACATGTAATATTTGAAGAATTGTAGCTTACATGTAATATTTGAAAAACTTGGTAGCTTACATTTATAAGGACTTGGTACCTTACATTTCATACTTGAAGGACATCATATCTTACCATTTCATGCGTGAAATAATCAATAGCTAACCATTTCATATTTGGAAGCTTAACCATTTGATAGTAATTGACAGCTTACAAACTCATTTATGAAGTACTTGTAAGCTTAGCTATTTGTTATTTGAAATATATAATAGCTTACCATTTCATGCTTGAAGTAATTATTAGCTTACCATTTCACATTTATAGTACTTGGCAGTTTCACCATGTACAGTTGATGTAATTTATATCTTTCCATCTCCCTAAATGAAACACTAGTTACACTGTAGTACTGTAACCACTTGGTACTTGAAATATCTTATAGTTTACCATCTAATATCTGAAATACTTCACAGTATACCATTTCATATTTGAAGTGCTGGGTATAGGTGCTAAAAGAAAATTGAAATGTACTAGTGAAATTGGTGATAACGAATCTGTATATTTAATGAAGGAAAACCAAGTTCTATGGATAGTCAACTTCTTGCTTGCAATGAGTGCGACGTTTCGGTGTAGGTACTATCACCGTTATCAAGCAAGTGATGCCTCTCAAAGAAGTTATGTATATTTAATGATATGTAACATATATAATACAACTAAAATCACAAGCACTGATTCTTGCAATCCAATGTGGAATGAACTACAGAGGACCAATACAGAGAAAACACAATGTAACCATGGCAACGTACCATGTATATCTTATATGTCAACTGTTTATCAAGGGAGCCCACAAAGCATCTTTTTTCACACATGGGCAGAATATGTTAATAAAAATTTCTCCCACCCTTCCAGTATCTTGGCAACAATGCCTATTTGTTCACTGATGTTCACTACTGTTATAACGGTGATATCAATGAAAAGACTGTGTTATTTGCATATGTTATCAAGTAAAACTGGTTTCGTGTCCACATCTTTGTATTAAGTGACCAATGAGGAACAAACCCCATTTCACTCCAGCAGATGAAACAAATACACATACCATAATACTAGTAGGGCAGGACCTGTCAACCCTTTCACAAGCACCTGAGTGTCCAGTAATATAAGTTTCACTGCTATTTTGCTGTTTACACAACTGGAATGTTTCAGTGATTGAGGTGTAACGTATTCAGTACTGTACAATAAACAACCCTTCAAGTACTGACATGGATTGTTTCTAATATTATAGTACACAGGCATATCAACTTCGGGATCAGACTAGCCTAGAATCAATCGACATTTACGATCATCTGTACTTTCCACAATCATTAATAACTACCTTTTTTCAAACTATAACTATTGACAACCTATAGAACAGCCTACCATGTATTTCACTGTACGACACAGCCAGCTGCATGCATAGCTATTGATTACTGCAATGTACATCTACGTCGTGGGTATATGAATACATGCATTGCAGCAGCGTCAGTAACAGCAAGCACTGCTGCTGCAACAGCTTATACAGTTACAACTCCAGCACTAGTAAACTACCAGGTTGTGATGTTAAAGTGCCATGCTGTGTCATGGATGTGGTGTGAAGAACATGATTCATATACATTCATGTACATATACAAATATCACAGCATTTGCTAAATTATTTTTATAAATATTCAAAATAACAGAAATAGCTTTACAAATAAACTGTTATTGGTAGCATACAAAATGCACCTTAAAACCCTAATGTACATACAAAATAATGAATTTTAAATATTCAAATTATATAAGACATTTACATTATAAAAGCAAATAAGGGCATTTACATGTTGAACAAAGTAATATCATCTATAAGTATTTCAAATACATACAACTGGTATGATACTACACATTGATAAGCATCACAGAATGTGTAACAGCTGTTTACATAAACATCAGGACTACTAAGAGGACCTTACTGCGACCGCGAAGGGTATCCCACTCCCCGACATCAGGCAAGACTCCAAGAATCTGAATCCACTAAATCCTCTGAATTACCTGACCTAATTTACCTGAGCAAGAGTCAAGAATCCTCCTTTTGCAATTAGTTCCAGGTAAGTTCAGGCCAAGACGGCTTCCGAAAATTGAATTTCTATCAGGTAAAACAATGCAGCCTCCAAGTCCCGAACCACCTTGATCAATGTGTCTATATATTCAGGGGCACGGGGATATGAAGACGGTTGCAGCTCTCAAATATATCCTCACATTTATCCCCCCATTGAAATAAACTGTAGTCTGTTGTGGCTCATCACTGATGCACTTTAACACAACACATTCTCCAGGTACAACAGTAGTGTTTGAAGTCCACCCTGCCCGGACTGGTCAGCTGTGAGCAGGTCAGTAGTAGCTGTCCTCTGTTCGATCGCCAATTTACAATATCACATGTACATGAGCTGAATAGGACTTTACAAAGCTAAGGATATAACCTGTGGGCTGTTACCCATTATCGTAGCTTTATAATACTCTGTTCAATAATTTCAATTCATTTGATTATGTGGCATGGTTTATGCGGTATTGAGTTTCAGGTGAATTTCTATGTAATTTACCAATTAGTTTGACTTCAGGAATGGTCCACTTTCTACAGTACTCTGACTTTTCACAGTGTATGAGAAGAGGCAGAAAACAGTCTGAACTAATTGTTGAAAAGTAAACATAAAAATGACAAGTGGCATATCTTTTTCTGTATTTGTTTCAACTTTTAAGAGAATTTGTTGTACTTTATCTGCTTCTGGTAATCAACCTCAAAACAATCATCTTTTCAATTATAATTGTGCTTCCAATATTTTGACACATCCACATCATACACTATTCCCCCTAGTGATCATAGTAAACAACAGTTGTAGGGTACACTGACAAATGACACGTTCATGCCGCAGGCCCCACCTCATTACAAACAGGTACCCAGTGCAGTCCTCCCCAATACATGTCAACCCAAACCTCCATGACCAAACCAATCGTCCATAAAAAGTATAAAAAATTGTCCTCAATTAAAGGAATTTATACAAGGTTATTAAAAACGCTCCAAAGAAGGTATTTTTAAAACAACCATCCGGTTCTCCAAAGAAGTATCAACAAAACCTAGAACTAATCTAAAACCCTTATTCAATTACTTTACTTTACAAAAGGCTGGTCAAAAACCTGAAATGTTCAAACTACAAAAGAGCACAGCCACACAGGAGGTGCTTTAAAGGCAAACACAAACTGTTGTTGCAACAAACAGATCATTTCCACTTTATTTGCAGCCTATTTGCGATAAACAGCTAATGCGAAGATTTAGTGACAGGACTCCACACACAGGACAATCCATGCTGGCCATGAACCTCCAGCAAGGGGCAGCCCTCATCCACCACGATCCAGGGTATGAATCCCCATCAATTGTGATATCTTCCCTGGACCATCATCCACCACGATCCAGGGGTATGAATCCCCATCAATTGTGATATCTTCCCTGGACCATCATCCACCACGATCCAGGGTATGAATCCCCATCAATTGTGATATCTTCCCTGGACCATCATCCACCACGATCCAGGGTATGAATCCCCATCAGTTGTGATATTGTGATCCCCATCTTCCCTGGACCACCATCATCCACCACGATCCAGGGTATGAATCCCCATCAATTGTGATATCTTCCCTG